GGGAGGAGGTGCGGGGAGCGGGTGTGGTGGTCTTCTTCGCGGCAGCAACTGCTCCATTAAAGCCGAGCCGACCGTTATCAGCGGTTCGGTACATTGAAAAGAACCTTGGATCACCTCTCTGGTGAATGATGTCCCTCAGGCATACCCGCAGCCTTGTGTAGTACTAGGAAAAACCGAGGAATTAGTGCTTAATTCTCATTGCGACTGGGAGCTTTGACTGCGTCGATTCTGAGAGAATCAACCTCGGAGAAACCAAGGAAATCCTCACTTTTCCCCAGCAGAGCCGAAGAAAAGCTGAAAATCTCCGCTTCTTCCGAGAATCCTGGTCTCGCTTTTGAGCGCGTGCGTTCTCACTTACCTGGCAGACATTGGTGGTTATGAGGGACCTCAACGATCCCAAGCGGCAATTGATCCTCGAGCACCACGGGGTGTTTTCAGAGAGCCCGTCACATCGCTAATTGTTGGCTGTTTGCCAATTTCTGCTCTAGTATGCTGATTACCTGGATGTTTTCAACAATCTCTGCTGTGTCAAAAGGTGTTTCATCAGAAATTGGAGGTAGTCGGCCCACTCCTCTACCGAGGCCCCTCGCTTCCGGTCAATCGGCCAAAGTTGAGGAATTTGCCCTTGTTGATGCGGATGAGGACTTGACAATTGTCACAGGGGTCCCGCAGGCTCCCCAGATCCTCCGAGACAGTCGATCATCGTAGGCGGGGGCGATGTGTATGTAGCGGTTGCATAAAGCCAACCCATACACCCGCTCCGCCTTCTTTGGTTTCATCCCTGCCATTTGTAAGTTAAATGTTTCGGGGGATAGCACGGGATGGTACAAACATCAGAAGTTTGCGGAGGGGATACGTCTCCCCACAACGGCCAAACAGCGTGCCCCTCGCCCCTCGAGCTCGGATGGTTGGCGTCCAAGTTACACCACTGTCCATACCTAGACAGCGGTTAATGGTCGGGGGTATGCCAAACAATTGAAGCTCTGCTTTACCCTGTAAATTCGATAGAGGAACATCTTAGCATGTCTTGTCCATGCTTTTGGCTTTCACTTTCAATCATAGGACTCTCTCCAGTAAGGTCTGAGGACGGCTGAACGGTAGAGGTCTGCAATGCCATGTAGGTTCTACTCCCGAGGTAATTCCGTCTGGGATGTGAAAGGCTGGCGCAACAGGAATGATCGAGAAAAACGTAAGCTCTCGTATGATTCCAGGGTGTAATGGAATCTTCTTCTCTTCACGATAGTAATTCATCAGGAAGCCCCAGGATCAACGACGCAAGGAACGGGACAATCTCATCTTCTAAAAGACATGCCGGATCGTCGACAAGTTCAACCAAGTCTTTGTGGCCAAATAGCCAGAAGATGCTTCTGTTCGAGCCAATCATCTAGGAAACGCCTTTTTAACTCTGTCAGAACTATCGTTATAGGGTAAAACCCCAGATATGGCAAGGTAGTACTTACGAGGCCAGCCTGAGGATAATACTCGTCGATTTCAGGAGGTAGCGTTCCAGGGGCTGTTTGTATGCACTTTTGAGCTCATTTTCTTTGAGCAGAAGTGCATTCCGTGCACTTGAATCGATGGCTGTCTTTGGTGCCAGACTTATACTCTGGATCTCGACACGCCCATCCAGGTCTATGGTTGAGCAATTGTTCAACTTAAATGGCAAAGAGTTAGTAGTGGTAATTGACAGATTGGACATGCTGTTACTCACTTTTGCCTGGAAGACGCTGATGGTTCTCTCTGTAAGCTCCATGGGCGAACCAGAGATTCTCTGGACCATTGAAGCTGGAGCGATGAAGAGCACAATTGGTTCATGTCTTCTTTTTGAAGATATGTCTTGATACAGCATAGAGTCGAGTTTGTCAGTAGTAGCTGTCAACAATACTAAACAACTCGACTAAAAGGTGTCTAGACAACCATTTCTAGCGTAGTAGAAATAGTAGTGCAGTGCATGTTCAAAAGTAGCAGGCAAAGTATTTGAAGTCCTGATATATTAAAGCCTGGCAGCCAACAAGAGAGTACGCAAGAGGAAGAAGCAATGCAGGGTGATCTAGGAGAGCTGGAAGGCATTCATCAAGCAGACTCCTCTCCTAACAGCATGAAGTGAATACATCTAAGTATCTATTCACTGTGTCATCTATATGGCTGTGAATGTAGTATATCTCTATTGATGTCTTAGTTAATGCATCTAAGCATGTCACTATGGCCATTTATATGGCTGTGAATGTAGTATAGTGCTTATAATATCTCATCTTCATATCCTCTCCTTCAACTTCTCTCTTCCACTGACTTACCCAACACCATTGTCATCATCATCAAAATCAAGTCTCTTTTAAATATATCCTACAAAATGTTGCTACAAGAAGATTTGCGTGCTTCAGCTTCAATCGAAGCCTATATCAGCAAGAGTTATCAATCAGACTCTCAAAGGGCATTTGTATGCTCTTTCGCAGTAGGAGGATGGTTGTTGGCATAACCCTACCACCTATCCTTTGGTGGTCTTCTTTCCAAGATGGTGCCCACTAGACAATTGGAATTGAGAGTCAACTTTAGGTGGCACAAGCAGAGTCGGAAGAAAATCTGGGGATGGTATGGGTTATTCGACGAACAAGGGCAGAGGAAGAACGGATTAGTGCTTTCCAGGTTGGAATATATGCTAAGTAGCAATGGCTGACTGGCTTTTAATCGGTAATTCGACATTGCTGCCTTCAATTCTTTTGATGTTGTTTGTTAGGTATGTTTGGACTGAAAGGTGCCGTAGCATGGACATGATTTTACCGCAAGTTGTTTTGAAGTCAGGTCAGGAGGCGTAGACAAGGCCATCATGGGATAGTAGAATGCCTGTCCGACAAGGATCGTTACTATTTTGCATCTAGGTGGCTAAAGGTACAAATAAAGACATGCTGGCTTGATATCATTCGGATAGACTATGAGGGGTCTACGAGCTAGCTGCGGCCGGCGCAGCAGATGCACTATCATGGGCAACGGGGGCCGCCTCGACGGCAGGCTGTGGTTGCGTGGAGCCCTCCTTCTCAAAGCTACGCATGGGATAGAAACCCCAGCGCTCAAACATCTCCCGGTCCTCGTCCCAGCCGTTGCAATCCGTCGTCAACATCTTCTCGCCGGTGAAGACGGCGTTGGCGCCGGCCATGAAGCAGGCGACCTGCTGTTCCTCCGACAGCGAGATCCGGCCCGCCGCGAGACGGACGATGGTAGCAGGCAGGACGATACGAGCGGTCGCAATGGTGCGCAGCAGCTTGTCGAAGGGGATCATCTTGCGGTCGCCGAGCGGGGTGCCCTTGATCGGAACGAGGGCGTTGACGGGGAACGATTCCGGGTGGGAGGGGAGGTTAGCGACGGTGTGGATGAGGCCGATACGGTCGGAGTCGGCCTCGCCGAGCCCGAGGATGCCGCCGGAGCAGACGTTGATGCCGGCGTCGCGGACGTGCGAGAGGGTCTGCAGGCGCTCGTCGTAGGAGCGGGTGGTGATGATGGACGGGTAGAACTCGCGCGAGGTGTCGAGGTTGTGGTTGTAGGCGGTCAGGCCGGCGTCCTTGAGCTCCTTGGCCTGGTTCTCGTCGATCATGCCGAGCGTCACGCAGACTTCCATGCCCATGGCGCGCACGCCCGAGACCATCTCCTTGATGTTTTTGAGGCTTGTCTTGCGGCCGCGCATGTCGCGCCAGGCGGCGCCCATGCAGAACCGGGTGCTGCCGTTGTCCTTGGCGATGCGGGCGGCCTTGAGGACCTCGTCGACGGGGCTCATCTTGGTGGCTTTGAGGCCGGTGCTGTACCGGGAGGATTGTGCGCAGTAGGAGCAGTCTTCGCTGCAGCCGCCAGTCTTGATGTTCATCAGGGTACACATCTGGATGGCGGCCGGGTCATGGAAGCGGCGGTGGACGGCGGCCTGCTCGGTCAGTATGCCATTGAAAGAACGTAAATGAGATGAGATTGACCTACCGCAGCGTAAGTCAATTGGTTCAGAGGAGTCTCATAGATCTGTTGGACCTCTTCCCGAGACCAGTTGGTGCGCGGGGCCGTGGCCGCGGTTGCTTCTTGGAGCGCAGGAGGGATACGGTTGGCTATTAGTGACGCTGCACTAGGAGGAGCTTGGACAGTGCCATAGGACCTCCTCAGAAGGGCCCTGGGCAGGGACCGCGACAGAGAAAGTGACATGATGGTAGAGTGTGATGTATGTGATGGTGGAGGGGAAAGTAAATGACACGAGGGAGAGCGATAATAATCGTCAATACAGAGACTAAACGATTAGACTCAAGGCTCTTCGCATCTGTATTGGACCTCGGGAGTTGTGGACTGTGGACAGACAGAGGGCGATTGCGGGAGAAGAGGGGCAGCACACTTTGTCTTCTTAGTGATTCAGCAATATGCAATAATAATAAGAAGATGATAATAAGATGTGGGGAGGGGTTGGAGAGAAAAAGAGATCCAATAAGGTTGCCGCTAATTGGAATCAGCACTTTGCAGAGTAATCCCAGTTCTACAGAGTAAGGTAGGAGTCAAAGATTGCTACTTATTATTGTTGACCCCAACAGCATCCATCCAGCGGTTGAGTTCAGGAACTGATCATGTCCGGCTCCACAAGTCTTGCTATCAATTAATGCCTTCATATTATAATATTATCATCGCAATAAAATGCAGAAACAAGACACCGACAACTCCGAAGTCAACACTTTGACTCTGTCAGCTAAGTTAGTAGTCTGATGAATGTAGATCCTCCAGTTGCCCCTCTATCCTACTGATTCTGGTGGGAGAAGACTCCGCTGTCCCTGGCTGGATTTCTTGATGGACCAATCGAATCGACTGATCGGTCAAATGGAACTTGCGCTTCAATAGTAGTTATCTTTGGACTGATGCAAATCGATTTCATAATAACACACTGAAGATTCTGATTGGTAATTGACCTTTTCAACTCTCTGTTCGGGCCGTCGGTGAGGGATCAGAACTTGGCGCATACAAGAGAATATGCAGATTGCAGATTATCCACATCTCAGTTCTGGTTTGATTTTGAAAGAAAGAATTAGATCCGTCTCGTCTAGCTCGATTCTAGAATCCATGGTCTGGCGAATTCGGACCAGTGTTTTCCGAGGATCGCACTCAGAACCATGTACCTTATGTACAAAGTATGGTGGAATTGATAACTCCTAATATTTTGCACCTTACAATCCATTAGAGCAACGCCGACCGGAGCAACCCTTCCAATCCTCGCAAGGTCTCGGGTTTCGACGTGACGCTCGACATGAGATAGAGCACATTTCCCAGCACTCTCGAATGGACGTTAAACTTTGGCCCGCCCGCACACAATCTTTCCTGCAACCCCTTGGCTGCGGTGGAGGTATAGCCTACAAGCAGTGGAGACGACGTCACATGTTAGCCGGCTAGAATCGGTCATAATCTTCATGCTGAGGACTAAACTTACCTCCGCCTTGGGCGTCTCGCAGTGAGATACTGAGCACGGTGCCAATAGCGAAAACGCTCTCGACCGAGTCCGCGTATGACAGGTCACGCAGCAGATCGCGGGACCACACAGACCAGACCTCCGGGAAATTCTCTTCCCCAGAGTCAGACACATCGACGGTTCCTGCCGTGGATCGCGGGTGTGCTTTCCAGTCATCGCGGTACACATTCCATGACCCACTGCTTTCGAGCTTCATCATGGCGCGCAGGGAATCCACCGCGACCGTGCAGCCCACGGCGTGCGCGGTATAACTGTGTCCGTGCAGCAAGGCGTCGCTCTTTTCGGGACTGGAGAATGCTTGGAAAATCTCCTCGCTCGCAAGCGTGGTGCAGAGAGGTAGAAGCCCGCCTGTCAGGAGTTTCGCGTTCACAGCGATATCGGGATGGACGTTCAGGAAGGAGGCAGCAGTCTTGCGTCCGAGACGGTAGAGTCCGGTAAAGACCTCGTCGAAGATGATCGGAAGACCTGACCAGGATGTCTCCGGTCCTGGCCTGTTTGTATTTGTAGCGTTGGCTGTGAAGAGCTCCGGGTGACTGCGGACAACGTCTGCGAGGCATCGTTGGAATAGGGGATCACTAACGAATCATGTGAGCGACTGCCTTTATTATTAATTTGCAAACTTACCAAAAGAGCATGCCACCGGCTCCGAGAATAATAGGCTCCATTATGAGAGAACCAAACTTCATTCCTTGCCTGTGGACCAGGTCTTCGATCGTAGTGCGTATGAAATCTCTGTAGCGTTCTCCCACATCTGATTCCATACGGGCGTCCAGGTCAAATACAGAGTTCAACGATGAAAACTCGAGATCCTCGCCCAAATAGTCTTTGAGAACCTTGGGAATCTCAACCTTCCAGGTCCCTTGAGACAGTTTCACCAGGGGAAAGTCGAACCAGTACCCGCGACCGCGGTACCACTCGACCTTCTGATTATAAGTCGACGGCTCCGAGCAATCCATGACCCCGATCGTGTCGCCATGGTAGCTCCCCTTGAGACCTAGGATACTGATCTGTTCCTTGCTGGCATCCCACCCGTAGCGATGGCAGGCCGCACGAAGACCCATCTTCACAGCCACTTCCATCCCTGTGCTTCCATTGTCAGTGTAGAAGACCTTCTGAAGCCGAGGGTTTCCGAGACTCTCTTTCAGGAGCTCTGCGAGTGATAGCGCTGGCTCGTGAACGTTTCCAGCAAACATGACATGTCCATATCGTCCAGCTGCGTACGCAGCCGACAAGGCAAGCTCTGGGTTGCCATGCCCAAGACCTTGAGTCCACCACGACGCTGAGCCGTCAAAGGTTGGCTGCAAACTACCCTGGTCTGCATTGCCGCTCGACCCAAATGTTTGAAAGTAGTCGTCGTGTGCAGAGTCGATCACAGTGATATCCTTGGCAGTCATGCCATGGTGCTGCGTAAAAGGGTACCATATCGTATCATGGGCCCGACTAGCCATGGACTCTAGACGATCGATTCTCTCGGCGTTCCTCGCCGCTAGCTCATCCAACAGACCTTGAACGTCTGTTTCCTGCGCGACTTGCTGATAGTAGCCTGTCATGGCCTCCTCGTCCTGCGCCTGGGACGCTGCATCCTGCGACTGTGGACGCTTGGGAGGCTGTGGCAATGGTACAAGGGGAATGCTCTTATTGCGGAAGTAGTCGCCCAGGTATTCATGGTTCTTGTAGTAATCGTCGCGGAACAGGAGCACAGAATTGACATCGTAGCCGCGAAGCAGTAGTGATTCGTAGGCCGAGATGGAAGACGAGATTCCCCCAAGTCGCGAATCTGCGACGAGAACCACCGGCAAACGAAGGGGCCGGTAAAGATCCGCCTGCGAGTTACCATTCGGTCCAGGCGAATGGACGCCACCGGCGGTCTCTACGAGAGCGAAGCTGATTCCGGTGCGAGCCCAGTCGGAGAGTGTCCTGTGGACGGAACCGAGGATATCGTCGTCCCGAGGGATCTATCTTATTAGCTTTTTCCGCGGAGCAGCAATTGCTCGACAGAACATACCACGAAGTTTTTCTGTTGAGCAGCGATATGCGGGCTCACCGGCTCATCGAATTGATACAGACATTTGGTCAAAGTGCCGGCCGCATGACGTTGGATATGCCTGTCATGGATTAGACGTCTGCTTGAACAGGGATTCAGCAAGAACAAACCTATCATCTGCCTCATCCAATGGCCCTGTAGAGACGGGCTTCAAGAACGCAGCCTTTTCGGCCTTGCGACGTTGTACTGCATTGCATAGAATGGTGGACACGATGGTCTTGCCTACATCGGTGTTGGCGCCGTAGACTTGGTGGGCACGCAGAGTGCGCCACAAGGCCGCTCGAACCGGAGGCATCAGATCAATTAGCCTGTTGTTATGACCTGGACGGCGAGTATCTCACTATTCAAGTTAGAGATGTGATGATATATCGATGGTTAGCCGCATAGCCGCATTGCCGCATTGCCGACTATAAGCAGCGCAATGACAATCTTATCTCGGTGAATCATCTTCTTCCATGGATCCATAATACTTGGCTGTTGGACCGTGGACCATTACTACCTACGGAGTACGTATTACTAATTTACTGGTTTGGCCGAGGCATCCATCAGGCGCTAAGGCTAATCAGGTTACCTGCCAGCCCACTAAGGCACCAATGCCAAACAGTTGATCCCCAACAGCAGGAAACAGATGGATCATGGTTCCTGGCAGTGCACAGTTTGGCCAATTAGTGCTTTTGCTGCTTATTTTCCGGAAGCAATGACCACATCTGTATTATTATGATTATTATTATTATTATTATTGTCAAAATGTGTCACACAAGGTATGAACCCTGAAAGTACCGATAGCCGGTCCACCACAACGATGCTCTTGATCGCCGGGCTCCACGTACCGGTGTGCTGGTGCTGGATGGTTATGTCCTTATTTCACTTAGTCTATCTACCCCAGATCAGCTTGTCCCTTGCATTTTTCGATAGTCTGTTCACTGTTGAGTCTGAGCTTCCACCATAGCCAGTTTCTAATGGCTAGTTCCCCTCCCAAGTCCCTCCGGGATTCAATGCGTCAAGCCCTCCTTCGCAGAGAAGCCAAGTCCTCTCGCCGACGGTTGACCGTGTTACCTCAATCATCAGTAGATTTCTCCTCGAATGATTTCCTGTCGCTCTCGTCATCTCCAGTTTTTCGAGAACGCTTTCTAGAGCTCCTCCACCAAGCTCCCCCGCTGTACCCGTTCGCCAGCGGAGGGTCGCGTCTGTTGGACGGCAACTCAACATATGCAGAGGAACTCGAAAATTTCATTGCAGAGTTCCACGGCGCTCCCAGTGGACTCCTGTTCAATTCCGGCTTCGACGCCAACGTCGGTGTCTTCTCCTGCATCCCCCAGCCGGGTGACTTGATCGTGTACGATGAACTCATCCATGCGAGCGCGCGCGAGGGCATGCGGTTATCGAGAGCAGGCAAACGGGTGATGTTCTCGCACAGCTCACCCCGCAGCCTGGAAGAAGTCCTCGAATCGCATATCGCGGACGATCCTCTGGTCCAGAATGGCTCGCGGAACGTCTTTATCGCCATCGAGTCCATCTACAGCATGGATGGCGACATTGCACCGATCCAGGACTTTATCCGAGTCGTCGATCGGCTCCTGCCCCGAGGCAATGGCTATTTCATCGTCGACGAGGCGCACGCTACGGGGGTGTTTGGGCCCCGTGGTGCGGGCGTTGTCCAGGGGCTAGGCGTGGAGAAGCGCATGTTCATCAGGGTGCATACATTCGGCAAAGCGCTGGCAAGTCACGGTGGTGAGTCAATTTCTCCATTCTAATCAAGGGACAAGGAAACTCACACTCGCCTGGGTAGCCATTGTGCTCTGTTGCCCCGACACAAGAGACTACCTGATCAACTACGCTCGGAGCTTGATCTACACTACCGCCATGGGATTCCCCTTCCTGGCTTCCATACGCGCTGCCTACGAGCTCCTTTCGGAGGGCGAGACGGTGCAGCATCAGAGCAAACTCCAGCAGCTGGTCGCGTACTTCCGGGACCGCCTCGCAGAGGTGGACTCCTGGGACCCCGCAGCCTTCGAAGTGGATCATTTTCCGACGTCCCCCATCTTCTCCGTGCGTAGCCGCTTCCCGCGCCAGTTGGCCGCGGCGTGTCAGCAAAAGGGGTTTGTGGTCCGGGCCATCATGGCGCCTACTGTTCCTGCCGGTAGGGAGCGGGTGAGGGTCTGCCTCCATGCTGGCAATACGACGGAGGAAATTGATGGGTTGGTTGATACGTTCAAGGTTTGGTTGAGCCAGACGACGGAGAAGAAGGTTGCTAGATTATGACATGTTGATGAATGATTTAACTAGCTGCAGTACAAAAGAAATGCAGTATTGAGGGCGATCATAAACTCATAGCACATAACACCAACGAACGGCTCTAAGAACTGCATAGAAGCAGCAACTCCCCATACAAAACAATGGAAAAATCAGGATGACCACACTGCGCGACAGGTCGGGCAGGTAGGAGAACCTCGTCGGTTTTCAAATGTAGCAATCCACTGGTCGATGCAGGCTTTGTGGTAATTCGTCCCGCACTGATTCCTGCAGTATACAAGGTCGTCAAGGTTTTCTTCTTCGGGGCCATCGCGGTCCTCGTTGTCGGACGCTGTGCCCGACACATCATTTTCATTTTCATCATCGTTGTCTCCGTCCTCTTCTCGGTCGACATTCGATCCTTCGTCGTCTTCCTCACTATCTTGTCCTCGTAGAGGACACATGCAGATTCCACAGTCTCCTTCAATTGGCTTACGGGTCGTTCTCCGCTCCCTCTGAGGGACGGTTGGCTCCTCCGCCGCACGATTGACGACAGCTGGCGACGAAGTCTCCGTAGATGTTCGGCTGGGAGAAGGTCCCTCCTCCCTATTTTCCCGTCCCTCTTCCCCTGTCTCAATGGCAGCCGACCGCTCCGAGCGCGTCGGTCTTGAAACTCTCTCAGTGACACGCTGCTCACCCGCTGACCTTGCCAACCGTGCCTGACTGTTCGCGTGTTCCCGGAGAGATTTCAGCACAGCAGCTAGAACACTCTGCTCCTCGAACGCCCGCAGCTTGGCCCGCCAGTCTCCGACCAGGTTGTCTGCCTGGTTTTGATGCCAGCGTGTGCAGAGCACTAGCGGGGCTAGCTCAATGAGCAGACTGTCGATGGAGAAGCCGCGCTGTAGGAGCCTGGTACCCTCGTTGAGAAGCCAGAAAGCCCTGTCTCGATTGTCTCTCCTCGTTGGCAGCTTGCAGCGGCGCCGTTGGGATACGGCGTACCCGTAGCAGTGGTTCTCGCATTGGGGGTAGACTCCGAGAATGGTGGATAGATGGGGGTATGATGATAGGTGAGACATGGTGCTTGCTAGAATGTAAAATGGGTATGTGATGCTACGAGGGTGTATCAATTGATCTCAGAGAAGGCGTACTCTGTAACAACTTGATAGACAAGAACGACCACAAGATATCTTGGGCCTTATATGTCCAACCCGGAATCCATCCAGCTTCATGACCCTGGCCACACAGCCACTGGCTAGAACTGCACTGACTGTGCCACAGCGCGCGATGTGTCTGAAAATATCCAGAGCCAAGGATCATTAACCTTATGAGGAAAGGCACCAAGGCATCCGCATTTGAGAACCTGCTTCGTGAGGATCAGGTAGCGCAATGCCCATGGTGCAGCCACACCTCGCTCATCGCAGGCCAATGACTGCCACAGCCAGACCAACACCGATAATTCAGGCATCGACATTCTTGAGCGCCATAGCGAGGCTTGCACAGTTAGCTTTGGGCTAATATTTTGAGAAAGGTATGGGGATGTCGGTGGTTACATCTAGCAGACACCTCCATTCCACAGTCGGTCCTGTCAGGGGGAGAAGTGCGCTATCTGCAGGTCACGACTCGCGTCACAGTGTTGGTCACTGATATCTCGATAAATGACCACCCAACTGCCCCGTCGTCCGGCGCTTAGCAGGGATCAGATGGCCCTCTTGCTACCCCATGTCTAGCCCCGTTTGCGGGATTGGTCGTTGCTGTTGGTGGCTCGTTTCGGGCATTTAGATGCTTGAAATAGCATACAGTATTCATTGAAGGCGGTGCATTGCTTCTAGGCGTTACGTCTTGGCCGTAATGGGAAACCACCAGTCTGTCTGGGCGTGGTAGGCATACTGGATCGTTGACTGAGAGGCTGGGTCAACTGCGCTTTACCATGGTATGCTCAAATAACCCCATAGATGCCTCTATTGCAAATATAGGTATGTATGCTCTTAGTTTATTTACCCCACTGGAGCTTTTCTTGAATGTGCGCATAGCAATAGGCCCAGTTAACGGCATATCAGGCTGCTTTCCGGCTGGAAAAGTGATCGTGACTACGGTACTACGTAGTAGTCACGTGATATTTGTTCTGTCATTGGCCCATGGTGCAACTTGGTGAGCAGGCAAGGTACCTGATGTTTGTCCTGCGGGAAATGGGCCTAGGTAAGGAGGGGGTAAAAAAAAAAAAAGGAAAAGAAAAAGATGATGACAAGGGTGGGATTCGAACCCACGCGGTTTCCCATTACGGCCTAAACGTAACACCTTAACCACTCGGTCACCTTGCCTGTTATTATTGAATATTGGTATGATATATGTCTTGCTTCCCAAAATTTAGGTGTCAAATGCTCATAGTGTGTGGTGTTTTACCACTATCTCCGCTGTAGTGGAAATATTTTCCATAAAATATTGTATGTATAAGTTTATGGTGTCTATGGGAGCTATATAGATAGCACTGTCTAATTTTATATTTGTTATCTGGTTGTTGTTGTTGTTGGCCTGTCTGTCATTGCGGAAGTGTTGTGGTGGAGGCCTGTACCCTATGAACTGAGAGTCTGTATGGATGGCTCTCATTATCATCGGTGCCCTCAAATCAACAGTAGTCAAGGTTAGGTAAGATTATAAGTTCTCATACCTACTTCATACAGTCTAGTTACAGCCGAATAAAAGTAAATAGGATTGCAATTGCATAGTCGACATATATTATGTGATCAAAGACATATACGCAGACTACAGAGTATGGATGCACCACTGCCCTTTTGAAAAACATGTCCACCTAACCCCTTAAATAGACTTCTTAGCATAGGTATAGGGAGCATGTATGCCATGCGGTTATATAGACAGGCATGTAGTCTCAGAGTTCTATGGACATAGCTATGGTCATTCCCATGAATCTGCAGAAGGGGGAAAAAGGAGAAAAAAAAAAAAGAAAAAAAGGCTCAAACCACTATATCTATTGACGATCTATACACATTGCTCAATGGAACGAGAAATGGCAAGTGGCCACTACTTCATTGTTGGGTCCAGGCCTGATTTGCAAGGCAGCTCAAACCATAGACTTTTCCACCTTCACGTCACCCGTCGCTTGGGTTTCGGACCTGCTCATGGTGGTATATCGACTGAAGTCCCTGAGCCTCTTCTCGCCGCCATTATCCTTTTGACGGGCCCGTCTGAAATAAATGCGCTTGCACCACTTCCAAGCCTCAACACCAAGGAAGAAAAGAACCGCTTCGACAAACACCACACCCCACTCCCAGGAGATACCGACATGTTTGAAAACAACGTCATTGATCACAGGGATGTACAGGATAGGGAAGGTCGTGACGAACCCGATCATGATGCCGCTGAACAAAAACTTGTTGCGCCAGACGTCAAACATCCACTGGGTGAAATAGCGCTTTGAACCGGGCTGCATGCGGAAGAAGCTGCGTCGCATATCGATCATTTCCCAGGCAAGGAAGAGAGCGAACCAGGTCATGCACACAAAGGTGGTGGCTCGGGCGCGGAACACACCGTCGCATTCCGTGCTGTAGTCGCTGTTGCAGCCCGAGGCCAGGTTACCATCCCCCCAGCCGAAGAGGACGAGGGAGAAAGATGCTAGACACAGAGCCGCCATCCAGACGCCGTAGACGAGGGTATCGACAATGACTTCCCAGGTGAAGATACCTTGTTTCTGTTGCCGTCAGTTTTCTATGCCTCAAAAGAGTTTCCTGATCAATGTACTTACGCTTTGAGGAGGACGGTCCATGATATCCGGAGCGGCAATTTCCATACCCAGTCCCATATCGGGGAGACCGGAGGTGATCATGATGATCCATAGAATCTCAACTGGTGCAATAGGAAACACAGACTGCCCATTGTCATCTTTGAAACAGAGACCGATCAGAAGCGTGAGGGCGAGGCCGACATTTTCCGCCAAAAGATGCAAGACGAATTTCTGAATGTTGTCGAATATACGACGACCCTCCTCAATCCCATTGATAATTGAAGCAAAGTTATCATCAGTCAACACCAGTTCCGATGCATCCTTGGCCACATCAGAGCCTGCCTGCCCCATTGCAATACCAACATCTGCCCGCTTCAAGGATGGAGAGTCATTGACTCCGTCACCGGTCATTGCCGCAAACCGACCCCGGCGATGAAGGGCATCAATCATCCGGACCTTGGTATTGGGAGCGCACCGAGCAATCACGGCGGGTAGAGTAGGCAACTCATCAATTTCCTCATCTGTCATTTTGTCGAACTGACTGGCAGTCATCACCATGGCGTCCGCAATATCTTTCGCAAGGCTGTCCATGTTCGCTGGAATGATGCCAACCTGCGCTGCAATTGCTCGCGCAGTACCGGGGTGGTCACCAGTGACCATGTGGACCGAGATCCCAGCGCGATAGCACTCTTCAATAGCGCCTGCAGTCTCAGGCCGGGGAGGGTCATACAGGCCGATGAGTCCACAGAAAATGAGATCTTTCTCCACTTCCTCGCGAGCAGGGACATCTTCCCCTTTGACAGGATGGTGGTTCTCCCGGCAGGCGAGGCAGAGGACCCGCAAGCCCTCCTTTGCGAGAGCTTCCATGTTCTGTAAGATTTCATCCTTGATGGTCTCATTCAAGGCGATCGGGTCGGAGCCAGCTGTCCAGGTGACGGAGCTGCAAGCCTCGAGAACCCGTTCCACCGCGCCCTTGGTGAAGATCATCTCCCGATCATCGTAGCTGTTCTTGAAGATGACTGACATCTTCTTCACGGTGGAATCGAACGGATATTCGGCTCTTTGGCGCCAGATAGGCTTCTCGCCTTTGGTCCAGCGATCGCGTCCCCATTTGAAGCGAGAGGCAAATACCTGAATCGCAATATCGGTCGGTTCACCACGAGCCTGCCATTCGTTGTTCTCGGACTTGTGCACATGGGCCAGGTTGGCCATTGCTGCCACGTTCAAGTATTGCTCCAGCAGAGGATTGTCCTTGAGCAGATCATCAGGCCTGGAAGCTTCTCCCTGAGCGTCAGGACCAACTTTGACCGGCGGATCAGGCAGCAGGCTCAGGTCGCCCTCTTCCGGGTTCAAGGGATTATTAGAAGCCCCGACCGAGAAGGTGCCAACAGAGGGAATCCAAGCCCGCTTGGCGACCATGCGCCCCTGGGTGAGGGTTCCCGTTTTGTCTGAGCAAATGTTAGTCACAGCGCCCAGGGCTTCAAGGGAATCAAGCTTCCGGACAATGACATGTCTTTCAACCATTTGCTTGGTGCCAACCGCCATGGTGATGGTCAGGACCACCACCAGGCAGGCAGGAATCATCGCGAGACCTGTTGCGACTGCGTAGATTATGACCTCCTTGTCATTGCGGAACTCATTGGCGCCCATGACGATGATGGCGAAAATCACGGCAATGACGAACAGGGCCAAAGCCAGTTTGGAGAGCTTGCGCTGGAGCGGTGTTCCAACATTGATTCCCAGGAATCGTCCCACGGCGTCTGTGCAGGTCAGGGTCCATGCCTGCACATACCACCGTTTCTTGGTTTCTCCCTCGGGACCGCGCTTGACGGGCCGCTTCCTGGAGTCGCTGGCACGAAGAGCGGCGGCGATGGCTCCAATCTCTGTTTTCATCCCGGTGCCGACGACAACGCCCCGAGCGCGGCCTCTCGTCACCGTGGATGAACTATACGCGATGTTCAAGCGATCGCCGGGCCCCGTGTCTGGGTCAAAGGTTGTATCGACCTCTTTTTGCACTGGCAGTGACTCGCCAGTCAGGAGGGCCTCGTCGGTTTCGAAATTCATAGCATCGACGAGCCTATCAGCTGTTAGCGAACAGAAAGGTACTTATCCGGTAACCTCATACGCACCGAAGATCTGCAGGAACTGTGTCTCCAACTTTGAGTTCGACCATGTCCCCAGGGACAATCTCGTTGGCAGGAATGGTGTTGGTTTTGCCATCACGCGTGACGGTTCCAGTGGGGGAACTCAACGATCGAAGGGAGTCCATCGTTTTCTCTGCGGCATAGTCTTGATAGACACCTACCACGATGTTCAAAGTAATGACAGCTCCAATGACACCACCTTCGATCCAGGATTGAATGCCGAAACTGACCGCCATGGCGATGATAAGGACCTGTCTGTCATCAGTATTTCCCATCCTGATCAGTCAGTATGACCAATGGAGAGACTAACAAGGATCATTGCATTGGCAATCTGCCTAATGACAATCTTGACCATTGAAACACCCTCTCCCCCCTCGAGCTCATTCGGACCATACTGTTCCAGTCTTCGCTTAGCTTCCGCCAATGTCAGACCCTCGTCTGAATCGACGGACAGCTCACGAAGGACATCCTCATAGCGAAGAGCGTGAGCAGGCTGAGACAAAGATTGAGAGTTGTCAGAGGGTTGCTTCTTCTGAGCACCCATGTTATTTATATTGAATGGTTCTTGTTCCAGTGAAGTTATCTTAAGGTGGCTTCATGTATATTGTATCTTCAAGTGAGTGAGAGTCCATACACAGAGACTTAACCAACTTCGAAACTAAAGCCTAGATTCCAGAATCGGATTATCCTCCCTGTTCCCTTGCGGGGGTATCGCGACGTATTTAAGTCGCTCCATCACAATCACCACCTCAACCGACCCAAACCCCCCGATGACGCGAACAGCGGTTCCAACCTTGGCATCCTTATCAATCCGTCCTCCTTTCCACCACACACCAATCACATTCCCAATCTGTCGCATACAGATGGGGGTATCGATCCAGAATCGTGGCCGAATTCCTTGGGTCGGTGCGCGAGTGTTTTGCCGCCTCCCCGGACCGATGACGCACACGACATCAGACACGCTGAAATCCCACCCACGTGAGCACGTTTCGGCCAGTGGACTCCAAGAAACCGCCAACCCTCAGCGGCGAATAAGTGGCCAAATACCCACTGAGATGCCGTTATGATTGGGCAGCCAAGATTCGCAGCGGGCAACCCGGAGGCCGGAACCACCGCGCCAAGAGCCATCGCCGAGCGCGGGAGCCTTGGCGGCCTTCGGATTATTTCCCGCCTGGATGGTCTTGGGGGTTCTTGGCGAGTTGCAGCGAGTAGGTGGCCTGAGAGCCCAGTGACAGCTCTAAATGCAGGCTGGTTTCCCCCTCGCGAGACGCAGCCCAAAGCCCAACAGGGCCCCCGCGCTAGTCTTTTTACTTTATGAGGTTGTCGGTTTCCTGACTGCGCCGTCTCCCCACCGGTGATTGTGTTTCGACGGGCTTCGTCAAAGGTGCATGGGCGCTCGCTGTTAGACTGATTGTGCATATTGCACTGACTCGTTGGCTGGTTGTTGGGGCTAGCCGATTTATCCGATTACGTGTCGTCCACTGGCTGTTGGGCAGATCTGTTCGTTGATTTTTTCTTTTTTCTTTTTTTTACTATCCTCTCTTCGTCTACGGAGGGTCTATGGCTAGCACAGGTGAGATCGCAGGGGTTGTTGCGGGAGGAGTCGTCTTATTCGCTGCTATCAGTTTGATCCCTATGTGAGTTTCGACCTATCCACTAATCCCTGTCGCTGGGAATGTTCTATGATTTTCTATACGCTTGGTTGCAAGTGCCCGGAATTACTGGAATCGGACAAATGAAGACAAGATCCACAACCTGAGATCGACAACTGACCAAACTTGGAACGACAGCATCGTCATGTGGCAGCACCGCAGGAGAGCTGCTGCAAGAAGAGCCAGCGAACTCGAAGCACTCCGAGAGCATGGCTGCATGCAACAGGTCGGCGTGGAGAGATGGCTGGAAGGGCAACGGGGGAATACCGTTGCGTGCAGCCGGAGCAGCGATAACAATGTCCACGATTTTGGACGGTACGCGCAAGAACCGTGGTGAGTGATGGACGCTTTCCCTCCCATTCTTGGACTATCAGCCTTCCTTTTTTCTTGGCCTTGGAGACATGCGGGGACAGGGCTGCGCTAGTGGCCTTGGCTGCTCTCATCAGTGAGACATCGTCAATCCGTGATAACACCCATCACTAATACGAAATGATATGTGTCCGTTCTCGTACAGTTCCATCTGCCTCTCGACCCTGCTACCCTCGTCGTCGTCGCAATCCTCGCTTCCCTCTTCGGATCCAGAGCGTCCTCCACAAGGCACATCTGGTCTTGACCCTGCCGCGGAGGCACCCACGCGGGATTGGAATCTGCTCATTCTCAATCGCTGTGGCCATGCGTTTCATTATTCCTGTCTTGCGTCATGGTGGGAATACCGTCCGTACAGGTGCCCAGTATGTCAAGCATCGTACGCCCCGGAGGAATGACATCTAGACCTTCCATTTCCTTTGCTGGCTTTTTGCTTTCTTCCAAGTTGGCTGGACTTTCTTGGAACCGTGTTTAGCGCTTATTTTACTTTTGTCTCTTGGCCTTGTGATGTGGTAAATGACCAAAATGAATCACTGTTCAGCGGTATAGCAGTGCTCTCTTGGCATAATCGCGGAAGAGCAGACTTAAAGGAGGTCGGTATTGAGTTGTCAATTTACCGTCTTTTTGATCAGTACCGCTAGAGGCGATAGCCCCCTCGGCTGGTTGTTTTCTCTGTCATCCATCCGACGAGAAGGCTCGTCGCAGCTCAATTCAAGACCGAAGCACTGAAGCAACCAATAATTCTCCAACATCTAGTTGAGGGGACATTCGGAGAGGTAGTTTTCAACTTGATCCAATGGTGAAAATCAAGAGAGCACCAGCTCAGAACTCAAATCCAACCCAACACTGCATGCCGCAAGAGGCCGGAAAAATGACCTGTCATGGCAGCGTCTCCGCATACCAAGTCATGTGCGCCGGGCTATTCTGGTAAGACAAGTGTCATGCAGCTTGGAGTCAGTTCGACGAATAGCCCGTCTCCCGGGCACATTTTGCCAAGACTTATCCCTGGTTTTCGAACGATTCTCGAAGTTGTCTGTTGATCCAAAAGAGTCCAGTGAGCTCGTGGCTGAAGCACTAATTTATGGTTCCCTATTGATGGCATGGCTTGGGCACCGAGCCTTTGTTGCTCTCGAATCAGATCGGCCAGCTGTGCGTTTGGGTCAACCGGTGTTGTTGTTTTGCCTCGATGTGGATAATTGCTTCTGAGAATATGCAAAGGGGTCACTTCCGCGAATAATGTCGTCAAAGCGTCGGCTGACACGGCTGTAGTTCTGCCCATACCGTCCCAACTCTCGTAGCCGGATAGACACCCAATCTTGATAAATTTTGTCCGCGGTAGCCACACCTGCCATGAAGAGCGGCCACGTGATGCGCACCATGAGATGCGGTCTGCTTCGATGGAGCTTCAGGGATAGCTCTAGAACTAGGGAAACGGCCTTTTCTTGGGACATCAACCCGGTCTGCATGGATTTGTCTGGGAGCAGCCTGTCAAAGCATAGGTGGAAGTATACAATCGTGCTGTAATATGTGATGGCGGCCCAATAGATTGTCTCCATCACACGGCGCCCATCTCCCACGATATCACACGACGGGGCGGCTTTTGCGGATGAGAGAAGCATTTCGAACTCCTAGCATAATCATGTCAGTCTGAGCAGCAACATGGGTCTGAACCGTCTTACATTGGCTATCTTGACTATCTCATCAACAATCTGCCGATAAGGTGCTTCTTTCCAAGAGGTGCTTCTTGGTTGCCGAAATAGCTCTGTGATCCTGAATTGAACCACATGGCTTTTGTGATAAAGGGCTAAGCCGGGATAGTTTTCCATATCATCTAGTTGTGCTTTGGCTGGGTAGGCTTCCCCCCAGAACTTCGAAGGCGACTGTCTACTGATACGATAGAGGTTGCCAAGGTTCAATGGAGTGTCTTCGTCTTCTGCACGAAGAAAGAACCGGAAGAGATCATCGTTGACTTTCTCAAATCCTGGTTCATATATAGCGCCAGGTCCGAAGAAAAGCGCGCCAGGCGTAAAGAAGTAGAGGGTCCACAGCAGGAATAGAGGTACTGCCGTATAAATTAATCTCCCGTCAGATGGGCCAGCTACCGAATCGATTGGACTGCTGGCCGCTCCCTCGATCAAGCTCGGGTCCTCAGCGGAACCGTGAAACAACACAACTGCCGCTTCAGGACTCCCGGCAGTGATTGCAGGGGCCGAAGACTCCTCGTATTTCAGCAGAGGTAAGATATGGTTATGCAGTATGCTTTCAATGCCTCGCAAATGTATGTTGATTGTTGTGGCGCCACTCCCGAACCGGTTCTCATAATCGATCATGAGCCACAACGTTATAAAAATTGCCTCGACCTTCGCCGGGGTCTTCACGCCTTCAGCCAGCACTTCGCGAAGTCTGGATAAGGCTGTACCGTAGTGTACCCTGCCATCGATGTCGGACGAATCACTGATTTGGGGATACACACGTGTACTGTCGCAATCGTGGAGACGTGATCGATGAATTTCACAGGCAGTCGTGGCGAGGATCATGCTCATCACCATAGGTTCCTTGACAGCTACTCTATGGTAGGCGTAGGAGATGGTGGACCACGGCCAATGCTTGCCGAGCAAAGTGACCAGGGCAGAATCTCGAAGATAGTTCAAGCGAGACCGGTCGGATCCCGAGAGAACAAGCGAATTAGCAGCTTGCAGACTACTGTCATGGGTGCAAGCAGGAAGCAAGGGAGATTGCAAGTCGCCCGGTCTCCTCATTGAGCCATGCGAGCTAGCATGGATCCCAGACACCTGACTCTTTCTCGACCCTGTCGTTGACCGACAAGGGATCGGTCCACCCTTCCATTCACAGGCGATTCGCGCGACCGAACATCGCCTGCATTGGGGTTCCTTCTTATTGTCGACGACAATCCGCTCCTCGTCGCATTTCACTTTCCGAATTCGGCACGTACGGCAACCTGCAATCGAATGAATCGTCGCTGACAGGCCACAGAGAGCAGGTGATCCTACCAGTCTTGGAACGGGCTTTTCGGCCAGTCTTGTACATATTGCACTATTAAACAGCCAAAATGTGCTTGCACCAGAGCTTTTCTCCACTCCCTTGCTTTTTCGGGATTTTAGCCTTGACGTGGTTGAACAATCCTCATCATAGATTTGGCTTGAATCGGACAAGTCGATGACTGGTATTAATTGCGCCCCTCAGATCCCAACACAAGGGCAACGGCGGGGTTCACTGGCGGGATACGACTATCCAATGGGTCCACTTATCAAAGACGACTGGCACGAAGGGATCAGATGAGGAGAAAGAGATAAGTCTGAGGTTGAGATAGCCACCCGAAATCGGCAACGAAGCGAGGATGCGGAGAAATGCCGAGTCTCTGTTTGTGATTGGCTGCATCGGCTAATTCCACGTGACCTGGCAGTATCTCAGCCAATCATGACATTTGGAGTCATGACAATCCCCATTTGGCAAGTCAACACGTTGCCGAGATGACAGTTGAAGGTTGCAGCACTGTTGATCGGGTCTTAGCAGAACAAGTATATAAAATGCCTCCGAGTCAGCCTTGGCTTGGAGAGCTCCCGAAGTGATCAAAAAGGACAATCAAGAACCAGACAAGCATAATGCGACTCTCAGTATCTCAGCAACAATTCATCGGGAGCGTTCGCGATGCCATTCGCAAGTATGATGCGCAGCTCAGAGACATCAACAACAAAGTGAGTCTGACTTTGTCACCGCCGTAACGTCCTCTAATCATTCCAGATCTGGTCGAATCCGGAACTAGCTTATGAGGAGCACAAAGCGCACGACCACATCTGCGCGCTATTCGACGCCCTTGAAGGCTATGAAGTGCGTAGAAAGGCCTATGACATGGACACGGCTTTGGAAATTGAATACAAACATGGTGCCGGTGGTCGCGTCGTGGCATTCAATGCGGAATACGACGCACTACCCAACATCGGGCACGCATGTGGGCACAATCTAATTGCGACAAGCTCCATCGCTGCGTTCATCGCCACATGCGAAGCGATGAAAATCCACTGCCCCGAAGAGCCCGGGTATACCGTGCGTCTTCTGGGGACTCCCGCCGAGGAGTCAGGCGGTGGAAAGGTGCGCCTGCTGGACAATGGGGCGTACAAAAACGTCGACGTGTGTCTCATGGTTCATCCCATGCCAATGGTTCCAAGTGCTCCGGATCTCTTGTGCATAGCTACAACGGTGCCAGGAGGCTATCTTGCCAATGATAAAGTCCGCGTGACTTTCACTGGGAAACCGGCGCATGCGGCAGCCGCTCCGTGGGAGGGAATCAATGCTCTTGATGCTGTGGTTTCTGCATACGTGAACATCTCTGTCCTGCGGCAACAAATCCGGCCAGCTCAGAAAATCCACGGGATCATTGTCCATGGGGGAGATCGGCCGAATGTGATTCCCATGTCTGCAACGGTGGACTACTACATCCGGTCAGACACAGTTAAAAGTCTGAAAGTGCTCACGGACAAGGTGATCAAGTGCTTTGAGGCAGCTGCGATGGCTACAGGTTGCAAAGTCGACTATGAATGGTGAGTCTCTAAGAGGCTGTGGGAATGTATTCTCGTGCTGATCATAATAGGGGAATTTCATATGCCGATCTGAAGACGAATCGTCCCATCTGCCAGAGCTTCGTATCTGCGATGCGCGCAATGGGTCACCATACCCTTTACGACAATGCTGGGCAGCCAAACACACTTGGGGGAGGCTCTACAGACATGGGTATGGATCTCTCTGAGAGTGTTCGTTCCAAACGACTAATCTTCATCCTACAGGAAACGTGTCATATGCCGTACCTGGATTCCACGGAATGTTCACTATCCCGGCTGAAGGGGTCAATCATACGCCACAGTTTACAGCCGGAGCCGGGTCTCAAGCATCGTACGAGAGATGTCTCGACTGCGCTGCGGGAATGGCAGTAGTCGCCTGTGAGATGTTGGTGGACGATGAATTCGCAGCACAGGTCAAGGAGGATTTCCAAAGAGATGTGTAGATCATGCAGCCAGTAGAATCTCTCAAGATAAGACCAGAGTATTGGCTTATGCGCAAGATTTGAGCATGATTCGACCTCATAGTTTTCTATCACCTTGTCTGATAAGAGTGAATGAGAGATATGACACCAAATCTAGACTTTCAAGTATCTAACCTCGGCTCTTCTATTCCATTGACACGTCCTTCTTAGGCCGACTCCTGTAGTTGTATTCGTATACTGCCGAAGTCACACGTCGAGAATATATCGCCAAAGCCGCCAAGGCCTGCTAGCTTTGCCGACGCAGCCAATAGATGATACTATCGCAGAGACGGTCAATCATCGGCGCCGTTATCTCTATATCCACAGACTCAACTTTATCTTCGAAAATGCGGGGGGTCAAGATAGAGATAGGGATGTGGGTGGATATAAATAGGGATGTTGATATACGGAATGAAGCGAGACTGCAGAGGCGCATCTTCGAATACTCCAGTTATCCTACCGTTGCCCTTCTCAGCGTGTTGCGATCTGATCTCGAGCATTGATTGCAAGTATATTGCAGTTCAATATGGGAAATATGTCAAGAGAGAAGACACTGCCAAACAGCAAGCATGCCGATGACCAAGCAAGTTTGGACATGGGCGCTCTGCAACAGATTCAAGAGTCCCCCTTTGCATTTTCATCCACCGCAGAGAAAAGACTCGTCCGAAAGATTGATATTATGTACGTTCGACATGCAATCTGTGTGCCATTCCTTACTAACAGCTATTTGAGGATCCTCCCTATTATGACATTCGCCTACATGATGGCCTTCTTGGATAAACAAGCCCTCAGCTACACAGCCATCATGGGCCTGCGAACGGATCTCAAGCTCAGGGGATCCGAGTATAACTGGTCAGGCAGCATATTCTACTTTGGCTATCTGTTCTTCTCATACCCAGCCTCGATTCTCATGGTCAAGTTTCCGCTGGGAAAGTATCTGGCCTGCAATTTGTTCGTCATTCTTCCTAGTCCTCTAGAGATTACACTGACAATGATCCAGTATGTTATGGGCTATTGTTCTGGCTTGCCATGCCGCCACGACCAATTTCGCCGGGCTCATGGTGGCCCGTTTCTTCCTGGGGTGCACCGAGGCGAGTGTCTCCAGTGGTTTTAGTCTGATTACTTCGCTGTGGTATCGGACGTCTGAGCAACCACTCCGGCATGGGATCTGGTTCTGCGGAAACTCCATCTCAATGATCATTGGGAATCTCATTGCACTGGGAATCTGGCAAATCAAGACCGGCCTGGAGCCGTGGAAGGTATGTCTACATTCCCTCCAAGGTGTCCGATTCTATTCTTACAATGTCAAACAATGCAGTGGCTCTTCATCATCTTCGGCATCATCACCTTCCTCTGGGGCATCCTCATGTTCTTCCGTCTCCCCGACGCGCCCAATACAGCCAGCTTCCTCACAGAAGAAGAGAAGCTCATCGCCATCGAACGGCTCAAGGCCAACAAAGCCGGATACAAGCGCAATAAGATCGATTCCGCCCAGATCATCGAGGCATTCACCGACCCCAAGACCTGGCTGCTGGCCGTCATGATTCTGGGGTCCAATATTCCCAACGGGGGGTTCACAACGGCAAGTCCAGTCCCCAAGGTGAACACCACTGATGCTAACACGCACCAGTTCTCAAGCCTAATTCTCTACGGCTTCGGCTTCTCGACCTTCAAAACCTTGCTGCTGGGTATGCCCGTCGGCGCTGTAATCCTCGTCTTCGTCTTACTCTCGTAAGCCCCCCTCCCCCTCCGCCCATCTTCCCAAATCTGAACCTCTCTGATCGAACAATGATAGCTCCACCCTATCCTCCAAAATCGAAAACTGCCGCTGCATCGTCATCGCCGCAGTAGGCTGCGTCAGGTACAACCTACAACCTCTCCAACTAATCCCACCCCCACCACGACTCGCAACTGACAATAGCACAGCATTCTAGGCAGCGCCCTCGTCTACGCCACCGACTCCATCGCCTCGCGGTACGCCGGCCTCCTCCTGATGGGCGTCTACTCGGTCAGCATGCCCCTGTCTCTGGCAATGGTTGCCTCGAATATCGGCGGCTTCAGTAAGCGGGCGACTGTCAGCGCGATCTACTTCATTATGTACTGCACGGGGAATATCGTTGGTCCGCAGTTGTTTTTTGAGCGTGAGGCGCCGAGGTATCAGGTATGTGTACTCTGTTTACACAGATAAAAGGGCTGGGCTGATGCGATGGCAGAGTGGATTCCAGGCGGTCATTGTTTGTTTTGTGGTTGTTGTGGTGGTGGCTCTTGTTTTGGGGGTGTATCTGCGGTGGGAGAATCGGAGGAGAGATAGGGTGGCTGGTCCTGTTGAGGACGCTGAGAAGCCGACGGAGTTGGTGGACACTACTGATCTGAAGAATATGCAGTTCAGATATGTCTACTAGACCAGATCTGCACGCAGAGGATCGATACACTACCTGTTGAAGAAAATATTCTATTTTTGTGCTATCGTAACTCGGTGATTTGACCATAGGACTAGAAATTCCTTTGTATAATAACATAACATGCTAAAATCAATTCTAATTTTGACACAATCATTGAACCCTCTAAGCAGCAGTGACGATCTTGTCCGTGACATAGAGGTCAACGTACTTGTCAACGTCGTAGTTCTCCAGAGCAGAACGGTCCAAGCCAACTTGCAGAAGCTCGTCAATACGGGCCTGGTCGAAGTGGGCTTGCAGGTGGCGCTTGTACTTGGACACAATCTCGGGCTTGGCCTCCTCACGTCTGAGGCGGTGTCCCAGGGGAGCCTCGACAACGACCTCCTCGAGAACGGTGCCGTCGTTCAGGGTGACAGTCAGAGCGTTGGGGATGGTGCGCTTGGCGGGATCGTGGTAGTCAAGAGTAAACTGAGGGTCCTCCACACAGCGGATGCGCTTGCGCAGGTCCTCAACAAGAGGCGAGGTGGCGGCCTCGGAGCCGTCAGCGTAGTCCTCGGCGGTCAGGCGGTTGAAGGCCAGCATGGTGGCAACCATGTACTTGAAGCAAGATCAGTAAAGATTCCGAGATCGAGTCCGAGCTGGAAACCTACCTGAACACAGTGGTCACGGTCCGCAAAGTTGTCCATGGCCTTGAACTGCTTGTCGATAATCCGGATGCAAGCCTCATGAGTACGGTTGGTGATCTCCTTGATGTCCTTGGCGCTCTTGCCCATGGCTGCAAGCTTCTTGTTGATGATCTGCGCGCACTCAATGGCGGTCTGAGAGTGGAACTCGGCTGCCAAGGATTAATACTGAAGTCACCCAAAATTGTTTCACGTAAACTTACCAGGGTAGGAAACCTTGAAGAGAACATTCTCCATGACGTAGCTGCCGTACGGGCGCTGGAACTTGAACTTGTTGCCCTTGAACAGAACATCATAGAAACCCCAGATGGGGGCGGACAGAACGGTGGGAACACCGCCCTCGCCCCTCTGGACCCTCAGGACAAGGTTGACAGCACGCTGGCAAGCATCACCAGCGGCCCACGACTTTCTGGACATGGTGTTGGGAGAGTGTCTGTAGGTACGGAGACTCTGGCCGTCCACCCAAGCCTGGGTGATGGCATCAGCGGTCTGCTTCTCGTTGAGACCGAGCATCTTGGCAACCACAGCAGTGGTGGCAACCTTGACCAGCACAACGTGGTCCAGGCCGACCCTGTTGTACGAGTTCTCCAGGGCCAAAACACCCTGGATTTCGTGGGCCTTGATCATAGCCTCCAGCACCTCTTTGACCTTCACAATCTTGCCATTCCCGATGTTACCTCCGGCACGGTTGGTACGGGAGATCCAGTCAGCGACAGCGAGGATACCGCCCAGGTTGTCGGATGGGTGACCCCACTCGGCGGCAAGCCAGCAGTCATTGTAGTCAAGCCACCGGATCATGGCACCAATGTTGAAGGCACCATTGACAGGGTCCAATTGGTAGGGAGTACCAGGAACACGGGTACCGTTAGGGACGACAGTACCCTCAACAACGGGGCCCAACAGCTTGGTGCATTCCTTGAATCTCAAGGCCTCCAGTCCGCAACCCAGGGTGTCGAGGAAGACCAGACGGGCAGTGTCATACTAAATCAAATCAGCGCATGAGTTACTTCCATCTAGCAATTTCGAAATCAAATAACCAAGCCCCAGTCTCAATTGATCAATTGTACATTGAGGCCAAAAAAAATCAAATGTGTGTAAGGGAGAAGCCAATGGACCCATACCGCCAAATCAGAGTTCACACTATAGTTGTGAACATAATCAGCCATATCCTTGATCTCGGGATCATAGCTCTTCTCTGTCGGAGCAGAGGGAGCACCGTGCTGAAGGGCAGTCATTGTCGAGAACCGCGAAACTCGGGGAGCGCAGGGGTTGACGGTCTTGGTGAAGGAGTTGAGAGCGACAATGCGGGAGGAGGGCCTGGAGACGGAGACGATGCGGGACTGCAAAGTGCGGGGAGACCTGTGGGTCAGCCGTCTCAGCGCCGAACACGAGGCAGACATGATGGAAGGACAAGGGAAAGAAGGAGGATGCAATACTCAGGAGACAGAGGAGAGGAGGGGAGAGGACAGAGGCCAGAAAGAAGAGTAATTAAGGATGGTCGCTTAGCAGTGGAGGAAGAGGAAAGGGAAGAAGAGGAGAAAAGAAGGGGAGAAAGGGAATGCGAGGGATAATTGTTGAGGGAGCTCGAACTTCACGCTGGACCGAGGCCGTTTTGGTTGGTGTCCTGCGGTTACTCCCGGCTATCCGAATGTAAGACAGATAGAGGATGGCCATCCTCATCCTACGGAGTACTAATGATCATAATGTCCAGACTTTCCTCCGGTGTCGGAAAATCGCATTGATCTCCTGATTCAGATGATTCGAAAACTCTGGATCTGTGGTGACCTCAACGGCATCCAGCGGCATGATTATGCTGTTGCTCGGCTTCATCGGAAAACACTGCGGATGTCTTTTTATGACACAAACTTGATTCTTTTACTATCACTGAAGGGCTATTGAACAATCCGATGATGTGAATGCTGTTTGACCAAGAGTCAAGAGTCGAGGCAGAATCCTTCTCTGCCGATGGTGATCGTCAAAATCATCCCTTGGATGCTCCCCGCGGTCGGACGGCATCTTTCCCATTTCCGCGGCTATGCTATAGCTCCATATCATGGACAGAGCATATGGATCAGCCGATTGGCGATCAACTGACTACACCAGTCTCCAGTATAGATATGGATCCTGGAGGAAACCTCACTCTTTCTGACCGGTTTTCAAACAATCGCTTGGTATGAGGTGCACGAGGACCAAATCTATTAAGTTTACCATAGAGATGAGTACGAATCAAAGAAACCAACAGCTTTGCCCTCGTCACGAATCTCCAGCTCTGAATTCTTGCTCGTCTGTACGCTGCAACGACTTGATGATCTCACGGTAAATCGCTTTGGACAGCGCAGGAGGGACGGCATTGCCGATTTGCTTCCGAACTTCTCGTGCTCCAAACCGATGGTCCAAAGGAAACGTCTGCAAACAGGCGAATTCGCGGTTTGTAAAGCCCCGTGTGCCAGATGGATGGTAATTGTTCTCGCCGCCACTGCAAGTCACGGTTTTTGCCTGCTGATTCGCGTCGAAGGGGGCTCTTGTTCCATTCCGCAGTCCTCGGCTCCTCGCACCTTCGACATCATGGTCCAGGGCATCTGGGGGGATGTTGGATATCATCTGGTCGATTGTTGTGTAGTCGGAAAGCCCAGATCCTGGCAGTCCATGGGTAGGCTTTGGAAACGGTGGCAACACTTCGCCTGGTCTAGAAAAGATATCAGCTTCTACACATTGGGAAGACAGGAGAGGATCAATACGAAAAGCAGGATGCGTACCCGGAAGCAATGATGATGAGCCTTTTTCGTGATTGCGGCACCCCATAGTCCATGCAATTCAAGATTCTCCAACGAACAGAGTACCCTATCTCGATAAAGTCCTGGATGACTCGGTGAAAAGTCTCCCTGTGCCGATCAAAAAGTCCACTGGTCTCTTCCATCGTGTGAACTCTCGGCTTCGACTTCTTAATCATGTCCGCACAGGAAAAGATGCACGCCGAATTGGCATCATCGTTCACACTGTTGATCGTATGTGCTGGCGAAAACGTCTGGCACGGAGGAGAACCATGGCTGACGTCCACTTTCAAAAATTCTGGCTCGTTTGTTAAGAAACTGAAGATGTCACTTTGTTCACACAGCGCAGTCTCAAAGTTCAAACGATATGTGGCAATCGCATGCTCGGACTGATCAAATGCCCACTTGATATGCAGACCAGCCTTCCAAGCACCACAAGAGACGCCTCCTGCACCGCAGAAGCCGTCGCCAAAGGTATACTTGCGATGTTTTTTCTGCTCCCTGACGTCTTCTTTCTCGAGCTCGGTAAGATCAATAACAGGGTCTGCATCAAGCACTATGACTGGAGATTGTGACTTGGCATCAGCATCAGCACTACCAAACGGACGAGTTTCACCTCGCCATGACTGTCGTAAAGTGGTCGAATCTATTGCAAAGCCTTTATCAGATTCTTCGCATGACAGGTACTCTATTGCTGCCTGAGCTGAGTCAAGGTTCTCCTTCAATCGACAGAACAGATCATTTGGCCGCTTTCGTTTCTGAAGATCTTGTTCAACATGGCAGCAGCTTGTGAATCGAATATTGACGAAGCGCTTGACGATGCTCAGTGGAACTTCTGCTGACTCATTAACGATCCAGACCAATTCATTGAACCATTTGGGTATATAAGGTCCCTTGTGATTTCTCGTTCGGATCAAGTGACGGCCTTGAAAGTAGATCTCTCCAGCAGTATCTTGAAGCACAGTTTCGATTCTGAGATAAAGGCCATTGTGAAGCTCAAGGGAATGCCCAGCTTTGTAGACTATTCCGTCTACGCAAGCGTGGTTGATAGGTCGCTTTTCCGGTTCCGAGGCCTCTTGAATCGGCAGAGGTGCTGCGGCGGCGGGTGCAGGTCGGTCCCAGTCTTGCAGAAGCCGCTCGAAGCATTCGTCTGTGAGATAGTCGCCTTCTACCACCAGTAGCTCAGGGCCCGAGGTAAGATCTATGATTTCTTGGTGACTTTGAGGTCCCAAGGGGAAAGGTGTTGGGGTGCGTCGGCTGCTTCCAGGGTAAGATTGTTCGTCATCAAGGAAAAATGATCGATCGGGGTCGTTATCGATAGTTACACTGCTGTCAGTGTCGCTGTCGGTGTCACAGACGCCAGAATTATCACTATCATCGACGTATATGGGCTCTGAAGGTTGGGGAAGCTCCTGGGAATGAAACGAATCGTTTGTAGAACTGTTCATCTTCACTGCAGCATGTAGGCCTGGAGGATGATGTAGAAGACCTTTGAGTTATTCTGAAGTGTACAAGAGTTTGAGTAGAAATGGAGTCAACTAGCAAATGCTGGAAAGGGGAAATTTGGGACAGGAAGGGAATATAAGGAGCGTAACAACCAAGAACTAGAAGATACGCCATGGTATAGATCATGTTGATCAGGATACCAGAGGGGAGAGTAACACAAGTAGAAATTTTTAGCAAAGAAGTGGAGCAATCAACCATGAAGACGTTCAACAAAGAGATAGCAAAGCATTGAGCAGTGAGCGTCAGTACTAAGTACATCAAAGGCTTATTTCCAGCAGTTGATGAGGCTCTGCAGTCTCTTTCACAAGGAACCTGTTTAGAGAGTTAGCCAAAAGAACTTCATATTCAGATCACCAGTAATTTGAGTTGAGCTACGTCTTGTCTAGTCAACTTTGTCCATCATACAGAGAGATATCACTCTATCATCAGAAGTGAGTTGATACTGAAAAACAAATCAAGTATGTTTGTCCTGTTTGTGAAGGCAAGTTGACAGCTTATGTCATCGCCGGTCTCGGTAACTAGTTAATGCCTGAGGCTCCGAAGCAGTGCCTCGCATAATTCTCTGGGTCATGAAATTGCCTTTGGTTTAGCGGCATCCGCAAAATTTCTGTCTCTTCCACTCACTGAGCGGTGGGGAAGAACCACAGCAGAGAAGAATTAAAGAATATGAGGGTTTCGTCTGGTCCCAACTTTTCCCTCTCTCCTAACTCTTCCTTCACCATGATACCTGTTCATTCAATAATCCCTTCGTGGGCTTTGCTTTGAGCACCATCTTGACTCTAGTCAACTTTCCAGTGGCTATTGATTGTTATGTCTCAATAAGAGAATCATTCTCGAAAACCCCTCGTCTTCGCCGACACTTCCGGTTTTTTTCTTCATCGCCCCCCTCCCCTCTGTGTGCGCGTGCCTGAATTTTTGCCTCTAGATGTGAGTATCACTCGAACGAATTCTCAATTTCAATGCATTCCATTCCTTCTCTTTTATGATGAATTTCGGTTTTTTTTTATAGATGTTAGACTTCCTAAGCATCCTTGCGGAGAATATCCGATCTGACTTTGAGTTGCTTTGTCTTGATTCGTCTTGCCGTTCAGTCTGATTTTCAGGCTTAATGCTGATATCATGAATACTTCTAGAATACCCTTTTGTCAGCAAGATGTGTGGTATCATCGGTTTAATATTGGCGAATCCCACGTCGTCTGCCGCCGTCGATCTTCACGAAGCGCTCTACCTCCTACAACGTGAGTATCTGGACGACACACAATGCCTTTCGAGGATCGAGACTAATGTTCAATTTGCGAATTACTAGATCGAGGACAAGATGCTGCGGGTATTGCAACGTGCGCGGCAGGTGGTCGCATCTTCCAGTTGAAGGCCAACGGTATGGCAGCCAAGGTTTTCAATGACGGTGCGAGAGTGGCGGACCTCCCAGGCTTCATGGGCATTGGACATTTGAGATACCCGACTGCTGGAAGCAGCGCGAATGCCGAGGCTCAGCCTTTTTATGTGAACAGCCCCTACGGTATTTGCCTGGCCCACAACGGAAACCTCATCAATGCTCCCGAGTTGAAGAGATACTTGGATATCGAGGCTCACCGTCACATCAACACCGATAGTGATAGTGAGCTGATGCTGAACATCTTTGCCGATGAGCTCAGCGAGACCAAGAAGGCGCGTGTCAACAAGGAAGATCTCTTTGCAAGCCTTAGCAGGATGTACGAGAGATGCCAGGGTGGCTGGGCTTGCACGGCGATGCTGGCAGGTGAGCTTATTCATAATTCTCATGGTGTTTTTCTGAATATCAACTGACGATCATGGTAGGGTTCGGTATCCTCGGTTTCCGTGACTCATATGGTATCCGTCCTCTGGTTCTTGGTTCCAGACCCTCCCTGGACGGCCCCGGCACGGATTACATGATGGCGTCCGAGTCGGTTGCCCTGCACCAGCTTGGATTCAGCAACTTCCGTGATATCCAGCCTGGTGAAGCCGTTATCATCGAGAAGGGCGGAGAGCCGGTCTTCCGTCAGGTCGCGCCGAAGAAGGCATATGCTCCCGACATTTTCGAATATGTCTACTTCGCGCGGCCCGACTCCGTCATCGACGGTATCAGCGTTTACCGGAGTCGTCAGCGCATGGGTGATCGCCTTGCCGCGAGGATCCTCGATGTTCTCGGACCTGAGATTGTCAAGGACATTGACGTCGTTATCCCCATCCCTGAAACGTCAACCACGTCGGCTGCAGCGGTTGCGCGTTATCTGGACAAGCCTTACTGCCAGGGCTTCGTCAAGAACAGATACGTCTTCCGTACCTTCATCATGCCTGAACAGAAGACTCGGCAAAAGGGTGTCCGTCGCAAACTGAATGCAATGCAAGCCGAGTTCAAGGACCGAAATGTCCTCTTGGTAGACGACAGTATCGTGCGCGGAACTACCAGCAGAGAAATCGTCACCATGGCGAGAGAAGCCGGGGCTAAGAAGGTCTACTTTGCTAGTTGCGCGCCGGAGATCACGTAAGTCAAGATTCAGATTCTCATCCATGACGATGACAATTTACTCATACACCTAACAGACATGCTCACGTGTACGGTATCGATCTGGCATCGCCCAGCGAGCTCGTTGCACACGGCCGCAATGCCGAAAGTATCGCGAGACACATTGGCGCTGACAGCGTCATCTTCCAGACTCTGGACGACTTGATTGGTGCCTGTGCCGAGATTACCAAGGAAAATGGACTGAGCGAACCTGTCAACTTCGAAGTCGGAGTCTTCTGCGGCAACTACATCACCCCCATCGATGACGGCTACTTTGACCATCTCGAAAAGATCCGCGGCGAAGGACGCAAGATCAAGGCCGTCGACCGTGCCAAAGAGGCCGTCACTCATGGTTTCGCCAATGAGCAGGACTACCAGATTGCTGCTAACGGAGTTAAGCTCGATCAACATGGCAAGATCATCCCTGCCAATTACCCTGGAGAGTCTGAAGTGCCTCAGGTCGGCTTCAACCGGTGCAGCAAATCCTTGACGCATGAAGAGGAACCTCCCAAGGTCAAGGATCGTATGGATATCAGCATCCACAACATCGCTGATCACTCATGATCATGGTTTCCTCTTCTGATGGATTGCTATACCAACGGTGTATTTGTGTTTGGCGTCTTGGAGTTTGTATGCGATAGAGAAAAGCAAGATCAAGGGCGGCTCTCTGTTTTTGATGCTTTCCATTGCATAGCTAGGACTGGAGAAAGGGATGGTGCTCCCCTTCCATGTCATGCAATTGATGGATCTACGATGAAAATCTTTTGGCACACATGTCATGAGGCTTATGGTGTATGTATATAGATAGAACTAGATCGGCGATCATAGATCGGATCATGTGATATGACGAATATTGAATCGAAGAATCTGACGAGGCTATCATCAACCTTGGCACTGATTCTCTCCCTCATCTTTTATTGCACATTGTCGCTCTGGAAAAGCAAGAGTCACGATGACAGAATATTAGAGCCATTGTCCTTGCGACTGTAGTCCCTCGAGTTGAAAAGTCACCTAAGAGGATACTGCTTACCGAACTGTTCTTTGTACTAATGTACCATTGTCCATCAACCACCGCCCGATAAAGATCACTTCTTTATCCTCGTTTATGAATTCCATCTCTAATCTTGTCTCTATTGATTCTGCCGTGTTTTCTCAGCATGACAGGTCGTGTCACACGTTCCGCAGCAGCCCGAGAGGCAGCTTTGCTTGCGGCAAAGATACAGCATGTCGAGCCGCAGCTAGCCGATTCGAATTCTCCGGCCAACACACAGAAGACTAGAAAGTCTACAGCTGGTCGTCAGAGAAAACGGCCCAGTGAGCAACCAGAAAAATTATCAAATTCCTCAAAAAAGAGAAAGACAAAAGGCACTTTGCCAAGTCTCAATGTGAATGACGACCTTCCGCACAATCTGGGCTCGGTCTTTCAAACACTTGAGAATATCAATGCAGATCTTAAACTCAGCCAGCAAGACCCTGGCATCAAAGAAGAAGAACTAGACAAACTTGCAACTGAACTTCAGAAGACCGTCGACAAAACTACAGAGATACTACCCCAACAAGCCAAAGTCAGCAAGCAGAAAAACCCATATGGTCTTACTCCCGGAGCTACCCCATTTCCTGAGTGGGCTCGGCCCACACCTGAAGAATGTGAGGAAGTGAATAGGCTCCTCTCCAGTGTTCATGGAGAAGTCATCCCTCCTGCTAAGATCCCGGAGCCTTCTCTCACGGTTACCGGGTGTGGCGAGGTCCCTTCAGTGTTAGACGCACTCATTCGCACGCTGCTCAGCGGTGCCACGACAGGGAGAAATTCTGCTTTGGCTTTCGGTGGTCTGGTACAGAGGTTCGGTATTCTTGATGAAGGTATCGGCAAGGGAAGTGTCAACTGGGAGGCCGTCCGTCAAGCACCGCTGAAAGATGTCTTTGAGGCTATCAAGAGAGGTGGTCTGGCAGACGTCAAGAGCAAGAAGATCAAGGCAATACTGGACATGGTTTACCAGGAGAACCAAGAGCGCAAGAACATGCTGGTGAAAGGAGAGTCTGACGGGCCCTCGGACCTCGCAGCAAAGACTGAGGGAGAGAAGGAGTACGAGATAGCTTGCGCTGATCAGAATTTCCTCTCACTGAATCACCTCCATACTCTCAGCACGGAAGATGCCATGACAGAGCTGGTGAAGTACCCAGGAATCGGTCCGAAAACAGCGGCTTGTGTCATTCTCTTCTGCTTGCAACGCCCATGCTTTGCCGTCGATACTCATATTTTCCGTATCTGCAAATGGCTCGGCTGGGTGCCGCCAGGTAAAGCTACCGAGGTCACTTCTTTCAGTCACCTTGAGGTTCGCATCCCAGGCCACCTGAAATACTCTCTCCATCAACTCTTAATTCGCCATGGAAAGACTTGTCCCAGATGCCGAGCAA